AAAGTGATGTGAGGTCAGGTGATGACAAAGGTGATGGAGGAACAGAAGCAGGGTAAGGAAGACTGAGTGAGGTTCGAAAAAGGGGAGCATGTGGTGGTGGGAGGTTCCCTCAAGAAGATGTGGTTGCAGAAGAAATGTGTGTAGAGGGTAGCTCCCGCAAGAGATCAGCGGGGGCATCAGACATGGACGAAGTCCTCACACCAGCGCAGAGGCCCCGGGAAGAAGATGTGGGCAAACTGTGGTAGCAAAGGCAAGTCCGGGAGGAGGGGGGGGGCAGTGGAAAGCTAGGCGGGAAGGGACAGGGAGGGGTTGGAGGGCAGGAACGAGGGATTGATAGAGAAGAACCGAAACCTATGAAAGGAGGACCAAGTAAGCCTCAGCGGCATAGGGGCCGATTGTTCGCATCGCTATTGTGCCGTGCGGACAGGCTGCGCAGTGGCTCCTGATACAACTGGTTTACTGCGCAGTTTTCCTTTTTGTGCATACAACATGGCGGATCGCATTGGGCGCCGGGTGAGCACTGTTTGCGTGGAATTGGTGCGTGGCACGCTTACAGGAACTACCATGCACGTGTTACTGCATGCCATCATCAGTGAGGTATATGGAATACCGACCGAAGAATTATATGGAGTAGCAGTCAATGGTGTGTCGAGAATTTTCATCAAGTTTAAGACGCAGGATTCTACACAAACATAGTCAAAAAAATCAAGGAAAGGCTGGCAGTGAAAACTTTTGGGGGAAGTCTGCTTACTGAGGTCCAGCTATGTGCGTGGGTGAAAAAATACGAAACGTGCCCTTTTGAGGCGACGGGCTGAGTGACGGCGGGGGGTTTTGCGCTATGGGAAAATCCATCAGCGTATGGGGGGGTGGCAAAAGGACCTTAGAGGGGTACCTGGGAAAGGTTTATTTTCGCTGAAAATGCGTTGAGGGAGTCAATTAAAAAATTCGTATTTTGGAGGTCTTCCCAAAGCAGGTTACGTGTATACTAGGGCAGGGAAAAAAAACTTGCAGATTTTTGTGGTTTTTTTTGAAAAATTGGCGGCCCAATGCATAAAAAAGC